TGTCTCCCTGGTTAACCCTTTTTAATCAACACTTTTTATGTCAAGCTTTTAATTTAGATCAAGCTTTTTGACACTTTTTTTTTTGGGTGGTGACATTGCGGTTGTTGTAATCTCTTTTGTGTCCTTTGGGGCTTGGCTGTGTTCTCGTCCTCTCTATCTTTTTTTGTGGGTTTTTCTATGCCCAAGTCGATTCAATTTGCAGTTGACATTTCATTTCATTTGCCGGGCGCTGGATATTGACCGTTGTCACAAGTCAAGGCTTAGAACCGGAGCTTGGATGTTTTTTTCTATAGAAAACCCTGCCATCTATGGACATGGCCTTTAGGACTTTATGGATAGGCTTTGCTCTTTCTTTCTTTCTCGGTTTAAAAGTGTTAATGCACGAAGAGAAAAATGTATAAAATAGTTACAAAAATAACCTTTTCCAAATATATTTGTTTTTTTAAAGGAAAAAAGTGTTTTTGCTGGGAAAGAAAAATGTATAAAGAACTAAATTGTAAACTTGATTCTTTAAAAAAATAGTTATACTCAAAAATAACCCTATAAATATTTTCTAAATATATTTATTTAAAAGAAGAAATCTTCATATGATATAGATCTTTGATTGAAGCTATATAGCTCATTGCTTAAGCTCTTAATACCTGTGATTACCTTCTGTTTTCTATGTATCTTTGCTCATTCCTCCTCCTCCTGTCTTACAATTAAAAATACTTTATGCACTCGCACTCTTTGGCAGATTGACTCGTAAGAAGAGGCATGAGAAAATGTTTGTTTCTCCCCGGCTTTTCCCTGCTCACCTCTGCCAAGTGATGGGGGTCAGTATATGGTAAAAAACGGAGGGGCGTGGACCGACACGCAAGGCGGCAGTTAGAGGAAACCCTATTAATGTCAAGTTCATTGCCACAATCCATCAGCAGAAGGCAAAAGGGGTAGGCGGTGGCAATGCAGATGCATTCCAGTTATTACAACTTGCCAAGAGAAGATTTATTATTATTATTATTATAGCAAACTTGTTTCGCAGAGTTCCGTCTCTTTAAAATGGGGATTTGTCCAAGTTTAGCCGGGTCTTGATACTAGTTATACATTGATTTTCAATAGAATATTTGGGGTTATCTGTTGATAAGACGGCCTCGTGATTTTCCCTGATTCATCATAATCAATAACTGTTATAATAATAAAGCGTTTATGGGTGAAATATCTTATCTGGAGCCACGTGCTCTTGCAATGGCAAGTCAAATTCAATTTGACAGTCTCTTTCGGGAAAATATGCAATTAAAATTGACATGCAACATGCACACCAGTTTATCCACTCTTTTTCGCCCAGCTTTTCGCAACTCATTTTGTCTGGGAGACCTTGGAAAAGCTATTTTCCAGCAGCGACAATAAATATTGAGAAGGAAAAACGAACAGGCGGCAGCATTGAGTTTTTTTACGGTTTGCCTGTGAAAGTTGTTTAGAGACGCTCTCCCTACGTAGTTATATTTATGTGAAGTATATTTTTATCACCGGCACTTTGCATGTGCATTGGGGTTCCGCCCTGAAAATGGTTTACCGATCCAAAAGGTATTTTCTATTTTTATGCCCACATTTCTTACGAGATTTTTTCAATTACTTTAATGGCTTTTCGTTTACTGCGATTATCTACTACTACTACGTAAAGATAATTATTAAACCATGACGCCTGAAGGGGGGAAATCCGAGAGGGGTTTTGGTAATTAAAAAAGCCGCCCCACCACCATTTAATGTAACACTTACATGCTCCACTGTGCGAGTAATTTGTTGGCCACATTTTTGCTCAATTTATTTTTCGCATGCCTTAGTTTATTATTCCATATTGTTTCCTTTTTTTTTCGCACTGCCATAAAATGTTGGCTGATGGCTGGCTTAACTGTGAATTAGAAATACTTCTTCTAAGACCGATTAGCGTCAAGTTGCTGTGGTTGATAGAGCATGCAATCTGATAATTCGCTTGATTATAATGTGGAGAATGCAGAAGAATTATCTAGACAGAATTGGAAATTGAGAAGCACTTAAAGAGATAAGGCATAGCATTATTATGGGGAGAATGTGTAACAGTTATTCTGCTAAAGAATTGGATGGGGAAATAATTTTCAAGATATAAATAAAAGTGTTAATTCCCTAATTGGACAAACATTATTACCAACTTTATTGCCATTAATTTGACAGCCAAGCAGGACAGCCATAAATTGTACAATTCCAAGGCCTTCTGATGTAGAACACAGAAAACAAGGTCGTCGTTAGCCAAGTTACCTCCTTTCCTCCTCCTATTGGCGTCCCACATCCTCCTCTTGTAATCAGGCAGCAGCTTGTAATTCCAGCAAATTGCCGTTTGACATTTGCAATCCATAAACTAGATTGTCGGGGATGAAAGTGCCAATAACTTGGCATTAGAATCGGCTGTCTTTCGTGTCATTCAATTACAATCAATCAGATTTCTCTCTTTGGCCAAATGCTCATCATATCATTAGTTAGCCGGGTTTATTGCCATTTGAGAGAGATGGAGGAAAAAAAGAGATCGTTGCGGTAACGGTTTTGATGTCGGATCGGATCCGATCCGATCGGATCGAAACGGAGCGGTCCATATGTATGATTATCGAGTTGGGTTTCGATGAGATGCGTATAAATCATGTCAGCGGCAGCGAAAACAAGTCGTTGGCTTTGATCATAATTATCAGAGATGTCATAACTTTCAAAAGGAAATACTCTGCCAGAGGGTATTATAATTATTACGTTTTAAAGTCTTTGATTGTATTAATTATAGTCTTTACAAGATAGTTTTCTATGTTAATATTTTCTATTTTTGGATGACTTTCTTATATATATTATTTATTTATGTTAAAAACTTAAAGGGTATTTAGGCTACAAATAGCATAATATATCATTTTTTTGTATCTCCCTTCAATTTAGTTTATTTTTTCAAGATCTCTTTACATCAAGGCCACTCAAACAGATTTGATCAAGTTTTCCCTTAACAAACTTTTACAAAAATCTTGCTAAAAAACAACTACAAACAAAAAAACTAACAAAAGCGCTTGCTGTTTTTCGTTTAAAGTTTCCCGTGTAAATTACACTGATGTTGCCTCCATGTCATGTTTTAGTTTTATTATGGACCCCAGTTTAGGTGTTGGCTTCCTCCTTCTCTTACTCCTCCTTCTTTTTCTTGGCTTTTTATGGGCTCTTATAAGCCGAAGAGAAGTAAACAACTTTTTCATGACCTTTTACGGTGCAGAAGTAGAAGCAGAAGCAGCTGAAATCCAAACTAAAACTAAAACTCGACCTCGGATGATGATGTTGATGATGAGCAAGAGAGCTTGACTCCACGCTGAGGCCATGTAATGTCAGAAATTGGTTTCTAACCAGAAGAGTTCTGTCTGCTGCGATGCTGTCTTGCCTTATTTAGAGCCCGGCTAGGTGGGATGTCTGGTCCACCGAACTACTGCCAATATAGACCAATAAAATGCGGCTGGCAGTGGGAAAATGCTGTTGGCAACAACGTTCCCCTCCCTGTTTCTTGAAGAGATTAAATGGCGGACAAAGTGAGTTAGGTGGGTGGGGATTTCGGGGCTTGAGTGTTGAGAGGTTGTTGAAAGGAACTCACAGATGTGAGAAAATGTGAGAAAGGGGAAAGTATTTCATATTAATAACAAGAAGACTTTAAAGTTTTACTAGAATATGAAATAAAGTCTCTGGAAACTTAAATATAAATTAAATCCTTATATATTATTTTCTAAATTCCCTTAACCTCTCTTACTTGTTACTTCATTTCTTTCCCTTGACTTGCCCTTGACTTTCACTTCCGATCCCACACTCTCTGCCTTTAAACTATTATTCAATTGTGTCTCTAATGGCATTATCTGGTATCTCCCACAACTTCACGACCTGCCCCAAGTAACTCGCTTAATGTGGCATCCATTTTTTAGTTAAATTTCTTCATTTTCATGCTCAAGCACTCAGACAAAACGAATTTCTCACGCACTATAAACGAGTGAAATTGCTGAACAAAACAACAATAAATTAGACAATTACAATGCGCCAAGGCGTGTAGGCGTCACAGAAACCATGAAAAATTGTTAAGTTTTACCTTTGTAAAAATCGTATTTATTAATGCGACACTTTGATCACCATCCCAATGCTAATAATATTGTTTTCGTTGACTAATGACAGTACGACCACGACGACGACAATGACTCCCGGCTACCTGGCTACTGGAAACACGCTCCATGTTTATCAATCGGCGAACTTTCTCCCCAGTTTTCAGTTTCGGTTTCAGTCGATTGGGCCTGCAGCTCTTCTCTTTTTTTATGTTTTGGCCCCTCGGCTGCTAGCTGTGCAGCTCCAAATGAAACTAATTGCTTCCGTTTGCAACATTTCACCTTCAATTTTTTCCGGCGAGTGAGAGAGGCCCTAAGGCAAAGCCCAAACCTCCCAACAAAAGACCAAACTAATTTCGTATGCCTTCGGGGGCCACCTTAAAAATGTGGCAATTCTATTTGGTTTCGTTTTGGCCAGCAGCTCTTGGCTTTTTGTTTGTTTTTTTTTTTGGTTCATTGAACTACAAGTTGCACTGGGACAAAAATGACATAAGTTGGAGAGAATTTCTTTCTTTTAAACAGAAAAAGTTAAATAAAGTTATATAGTTGAATTAAAAAATAAATATAATTTAACAGTCTATGTTTTGAATGAGATTAACTACCATTTCTCCCAATTTTTTTTTTAAATATCTCTAGGCGAATCGATTTAGACATGTTTCTGTGTCTGTACAATAGGGTTACCAAATCTTAAAAACCATGGAAAAGGTACCTTAATTTTCTTAATTTTTAAAAAATTATTTATCCCTATAATACATAAAGAAATTGCTTGAAATAATTTAACTACCAAATACCTATAATAATTTTCCGTGTAATATTTAAGTTTCCATTTCTGTTAACTTCGCTCTCTTAACATTTGTTTGCGTTTGTTTCTTGGATTGTTTTTTGCAGAAATTTGCATTTTCATCTTGCGCAAAGAGGCAAACAACAAAAACACACACAGGAAAAACACAAGAGAAAAATGCTGACACGGATGAGGCCAGCGGTGGGTTGATTGGCTGACAACCACGACATCCACATCCACAGAAACTACAAAAAGACACGGTCGAGTGCTGGCGAGTGGGAGGAAGTGGAGTGGTAGCAGGAGCAGAGTGCCAAGCATAACCTGGTATAAAAACTAAAAAAAAAAATTGAAAAAAGAAACAAACACCCAGACAGCCACAATGACAAATGTTTGGAGCGGAGCCAGGCTTTAGGTGTTGAGCAGCAGGTTTAATCAAACAACAAAAGGAAAAGCCGAGGAAAGAGGAGGAGCACCTGGTGGTGGACACAGCGAGGAATATCCGAGTTGAAAGAGAGAAAGGTGAGTCTAGTTTAACTATCATAGGGCAATAAATCCAACAGTAAAGTCGGTTTTAATGATATTATTTAAATCTGAAAGTTAAGTCATTAATTTCCATAGGTATATTTTTTAATTTGTAAAAATAAATCTTTTATTGAGTTAATAAACTTGTGAAGTGAAGCTTTAGATGCCTTAAAGGTATTCATTAAAATGATTTATTTTTAGGAGTATCGAGAGGGAATGTTTTTATATATAAATTAATAACTTAGAGAAATTTACAACTCGAGAGACGTGTTTCGCATTTAAGACAGCACATTTTTACCTGAAAATATAAACCACAATACTGATAAATGTTTCGGTTATATTTAGTTTTTAGGTTCAAGTTTGGCTTGTCATAAAACTACAATTTATTCATAGTAATTTTTCAGCTGATGAAGCACTTTATACTTTCTGCATAGTCATATGTTTAGTTATGGTTACATTTGTCGTCTAAGCTGTGCGAAAACCCTCTCCCAAAGCGGTCACAATTGTGTTTTTTTTTTCTGTCCAGGCCCATCTCCCAGCTAGGCCATAAAAAACACGATCTCTCTCATACGCGGCGAATCCTTAAGCGAAGTTTGCAGTTCCCAGGGCTCCTTAATTATGCGCACATGAGAAGCATTTGGGGGTGAAGCGAGGACGATGTGGCGCCAGGTTGTGCTCTAGTTTATTTGCACAAAACGAGGGCAGTGGCTAGAGTTTTATGGTAAATGTGTTGAAAATATATTATCTTTTGGGTTCTAAAAAAGCAAGAGAGCCGGACGGAGAAATCTGCTTATTCGGGAGCCAAAGCTGTGAACAACACTTATCTAAAATAATGAATTTAAGACCCCTAAGATAACTAAATTTTTAAAATATTTTAATTTAAAATTATAAACTCTAGAAACTCTAACCTTCAATTAGTTCATATTTTAAAATACACTTCCTTGGTCTTCCGTTTCTCACCTGTAATAATATGCAAATTTCGCCAGCATCCTTGGGTGTTTAAAAATACCTAGTTTGCCAACCGCCAACCTGGCGACACTCATTGCGGGCCACTGACTCAACTTCCACAGTCATTTGTCAGGCTTATAAAAGTCAATCGGCTCGATTATGCAAATGAATTCCCGATCGATGTGTGTGGGGCTAGACACTTGGCTTGCGATATACGAGGACGTATCTCAATTGGTGCCATCTGGAATCTGGAATCGGGAGTGTGGAGTCTAGAGTGGGGGGAGTCTAAAGTGGGGATTCTAGAGTGTGGAGTTTGTAGTCTAAAGTCTGGCGGAGAGCTTTCAAGTGTTGCGGTTATTCAATTTAGACGGCAGCGTCCTTTGAAGACCTGTTTGTTTATTAGAAAGAACTGCAACGAAACTAGGGATAATAAATCAACGAAAATATCGGTTCAACTATTCTCTAAAAATATATTAAAAATATTAAATAAAATAATGAAAAATAAATTGAAATATTTGAAGGTAGCATTACACTTTACTTTGTTATTGCCATATCTAAAGCTTATTTTTAAACGTTTTAAAATCCAAGTAATATCTGTATCCTATAGATAGATTGATTTAATTTAAATTATTTTAGAAGAGGACTTCAATGTTTGTAATCCACATTCAATAGTATTTTTATCATATAGATAGAGATTTTAGCTCTTCACTATGAGAACTTATAGGGCTTATAGGGCAGGAAATCCCAGTTTAAAAAAATTTGAATTTTTATATCTTTAATTTCATGCTACCTATCGATACTTTATTTATATATCGCACGTTCCTTTTCGACCATCCCTAAGCTCGTATCCAATCCAGTTAGGAATCAGAATTTCAGGTCTCCCCACGAATTGAAAGATAGAATAAAAAAACCCACTCTTGGGGGCCAGCGCGTGCAGACTTGCCAACTTGTTTTCCCACCGTTTAATTGGCATAATTTGTCTAACAAGACCAACGAACCACAGACACAACACACAACACACCACTCTACACCACCATCACACACAACATTGAGAACAGCGACAACTTGTTTGCGTTGTGGTGTAACCGTATCAAAGCATCTTGAATTGTTGTGTTCTTGTTTAATAAGTGAATGTTGTTGGCTGTATTTCTTCGTTAGTTGTTGTTAACCAGGCCTACGCGGAAAGGTGTCCGTGGGTCTATGTCTACCAGAGTTTGCAGAGTCCACAACTCACAATCAAAGACAATTGTCACGACCGGCGAGCTGCAAGGTTGTTGGTTCCGTCGGAATCGAAATGAAAAGGAATACAAATTAAGTCTCTGAATGAGAATAATACTAAAAAGTACGGTGATTTGGTTTTAAGTTTAGGAAATATGAATAAAAAGATTGAGTCTAGTAAGTTGTTATTTTATCTATGATCTTGTTAAAGGCTTCTGTGTAGATGTCTCTCAATTAACTTTACTAGAAAATCATCTACAACTTTACAATGTTACTCTTAAAGAGACCCCTAGGAAGACTCCTAAGTGAACTTGGTCCCTACTTAACCCTGAACTCTTTGTTCTGCTGCAACAACCTTCGTTCCCAAGATAATCATCATTAAAATGATCATTGTAAAGGCTGTTCCTATTATTCCTATATCCATATCGTATTAAGAAATCATTTTCCTGGCGCCAAGTTTTTATATGTAATTCATGGGAATTGGTAACCAACTCCAAGACCTCCCAGCGGGGAAGCCCACTCACCTTAATGTAGACTCGTATATATAAAGTATAGTACTCTGTAGATCCGGGCGCGTAGGTAGGTGGCTCCACTAATTGCTACCAATCTTTTGTGCCCGGAACAACGCTCCACACTCCTGCACTTTACCCCCTCTGGGTTGCCATTGGTACTCTTACAATGGGGGCCATCATTTCATTGTTGACATTGTTTTCTTGTTCACGCTCAAGAGACTGAATGTTGACGCAATTATAACACATGGCGGCGACGGCGGCGGCGGCTACCTGCTGCTCCTCCATCCATTCCATCCATCCTCATTCCCATTCTCACCTGGATCGTGTGTCGTCGCGGCTCTCGCTGCACGTGTTTGAGCTAACGAGCGCAATTTAACATTTTGCCGGTTGCAATTAACATTTATGCAGAAATTAGAGACTCACAGCAGCTCCGTTTTTTGTGGGGTAAACTAGTTTTTTGTGTCATTTGCCAGGCGCAAATTATGATCGTTATCGTTGTGATCATCGGGGCCATTTAGCGATGATTATAGTTTTTAATGGTGTGTCTTAATCCGTATTTATGCTAATGATAACAACACCCCGGACAGTTGGGCTGCGAGCAAAGCGGGTGTGGGTGTTTATAATGCAAATTGCATAGCAACTAATATGCAAATTGGTTCTTTACAAATTGGGTTTATGGAACAATTTGTATATAATGTAAATGAAAGTCGTGCATATTACATTTTTAATTTAATGAAATGTTTTTAAAGAGCTTTAGAAAACTCTTAAAGCTGCAAAATTAAAAAAATTCAATTGATTAAAACTTTATTTCCTAGAATTTATTTATCAATAGCCAATTACATTCTTTATTACATACACTTAAATTAAATATATAAGTATACTATCCCTTCAAAAAATCTGCTCTGCATCCTTGAAACCACTTCATTTGAGGTCCTGCAGTGAACTATATGATTAAATTCCGATGCCAAAAAGCCAAGGACAAGGACCCATGGGGGCCGTCGTTGTATATATATAGCATCCTGCCGCCCCATTCAATCGCCCCTTACCCCCTCTCAAAGCTGCATGGTTTGTGCACTTGAGCAGCTTTTCTGACCATGTCCGATGTCCATATCCACGTCCTTGCCTTCCATTCTGGCCATTCTCTGTGTGGCATTAATTTATAATGACGGGGTTGGGAGCTCTCGGTGGGGAGCTGTAGCTGTCACTGAAACGTGTCATTAAATCAATATCAACTCGGCGGCCAAATAAATCTGCGAGCTCTTAAAACATTTACCACTGGTAATATATGCATAATTCCAAAGTGCAACGAAAATTTCCCTTGGGAAGTGGAGATGCGGCGGATACGTGATATTTTATAGTTTGTTCATACGCCATGATGGCCAACATTAGTTTTGATGTCATATTTTCTTTTATATTCATAGAATGTTATGATAATAAAGCTGAATAAGATACAGGTTTCATCAAGGGTTTACTTTAAATTAAAAAAAAATATATTACAAATATATTCTAAAATATTTGTCAGCTCAGCCTTAGTTGAGAATTAAGAGTACTGAGTATTTCTGTTGTTTGAAATTTTGACTCTTGCATTCCTACTTGTTTTGAATTATAAAACAACGAGATCACCGGCTAAATTTATCTTAATCTAAATCTTTATCTCCCCCGTCTATCTCCATTCACGGTCACATGCATTGTGCATTTCGATTAGATTAGATAAGCTGTTACCCATCCGTTGCCATTGTCTCGTGCTTGGTTTCTGACTTTTGTCCCGCATCTGTTTACGCCGAGAGACCTCTGGTATAATAATGCCGCCGTCTGTACAGATCCGACCTTTGTCTCGGATTCGGTCGCGCCTTCTTTGCCCTCCTTCCTAATTGTGTGGACATGGGTGTGAGTTCACTATCTGCGCATTTGTTTACCTCTTGGCGTATATGTATATTTGTTCTTCTTGGCCAAAGCAACGCTAGTTGGGCGGCGTATTCCTATTGACATTGCGATAAGTTTGGCCCGTCTGCTTAGTTCTCGGATAGATAGCGCCTTAGTCTGTGGCACAAACTGCGCTTTTTCGCTCCCTAACTCTGACACATTCGAAGTGTGTTCATATATAGAGTCTGTGAGGATTATAAAGAGGCCACTTTCGGCTGGCTGTGCTATTTTTGTTTGGTGTGGGTTACTAATCCCATGAGCTAATAAGAGATTTCAGAATCCAATGATATATTAAAGCTGTAAATTCTATAATTATGAGAATATATAGCTAGGTATACAAATGGTTTATTATAAAACACTCCATATAGATAATGAAGTTAACCAATAATTAAGAAACTTTCCTTAATAAAACTAATGTATAAATAATAACAGTTTTTATGTTATAACTGTTATACATGGTTGCTCAAATCAGGTAATTGTAAATGCAATAGTTGCTATAGTGAAATATCCTTTGTTATGTGATGACTATACAGTAAAAAATTATTATAGGTCATAATATTTTGTTTTAAGCTGCAAACAAATAACTGTTATACAAGCAGACTGTTATAAAAATTATATTATATTGGTCGTAATTTCAATGTATAAATTTCCATTTACTGTTATACAGTATTTTATTGTTTAATGAAAAAAGTTGTTATAACTATCATACTAAAACTGTTATACTTAACTATACTTAAGCAAATTTTAGTTTTTTTTTTTATTTATTTTTATAAAAACTGAAATGATATGCACACAATAATAAATATTGCTCTCTTAAAGACCGCTGATTGTAGGGCAGCCTGGGGAACCAACCTAGCCCAATACCGTAAATCAATAGCCGATAACGGTAACCATTACCCTATCAGTTCACTCACACACACTCCAACAAATGGCTTTCAATGTCGCACCGACATTCCGCACTCTCACCTCTCCGTGTCTCTCAGGGCCTCTCTCTGCGAAGAAAGCCCACACAGTCTTCCAGCTGGCAATGCCGACCTCTCTTGCCCGCGCCAGTCGCCAAAATACGGAATCTCTGTAAATGTGTTCACTTTTTCGACGACTTTCACACTTCGAACAACATAACATATAGCTTATAGCTTATATAGCTGACGGAGAAGGTAGAGAAGGGCCCAGGCAGCAGCATTACGACGTGCCATCAATGGAGCCTTAATTGTGTTTGATGTGCAGAAAGAAAACAAACAACGCACAACAAAGGAAAATCATAAAAATTCAGCGAAAAAAAAGTAAAGGTGAAAATTGTTGCGAAAGTCAGAGTCAAATCGATGAGTGAGAAAATGGCAAAGGTAACAAAACAAACATTGCAATAAACGTAAATGTAAAACTTTTCCCATCGATTTTATCAGTTATTTTTTTGTGTGTCATTAGGGTGCGGTTAGTGGTAGATAACAGATCTAGATAATGGATATCGCTTCCGAAAATCATATTAAAATCAGTCATTAATTTAAGTGAGCATAGTTTGTAGGAATTTTTGGTATATTTTGTTGGGGAAATAAATTGTTTAAGTAAAATATGTTAACTCTTGCTGATAATATCTTAATGTTTACACATTACTTATAAGATAAATTTCCCCTTTTCTCTTACAGTTCCATTATGGAGAAACCAATGCACCATGCCCCTGCCCCGGCTGCCGTGGGTAAGGTCAGCCAGATAGCCAACATCTTCCAGCGCAAGCCCATTGAGATCCAGCCCGTGGAGCAGCTAAGTGCAGTAGCAGCTGCCCATGCCGCTGCAGCCGCGGCAGCAGCTGCCCATGTCCAAGGAGCCAGGACAGAGTCCCATTCGGCAAGATTCAATAACGCTCGCGCCCTGTTCGAGAAACTAGGCGTTGAGTCCAACTCGAACGTAAGTTCCCGCCTGTTGAGGAGTGGTTCTCGCGAGGATAATCTTTGCGACGGCTCAGATCGTTCATCCTCACGCTCCTCGGATCGTTCTCAATCGCCGCCAAAGCGAAGGACACCCTTTCCTTCTGGGGTTTCGTTGATTCACAACAATAATAACGCCAGCGCTGTGCCTCAAAATGGAGGATCTGCACCAGAACAACGTTTGAGTAACAGCAAATTTATTGTGGAACCAGCGGCGCCAACGTCTCAAGTAGTGCCCACCTCGGCCGTTAAGTACCCTCAGCACAATATATCCCGCTTGAAGTCGGAGGAAGTGACGGCCAGTCCACCGGCGCCAGCCAGCGGTTCGGTGAGCGCCTTGTTTGCCAGTTCTGGTGCGGATAAGCCGGAGAAGCCGGAGCGCAAGTTCAACTCAAGGGAACTGATTGAGAAGCAAAAGAAGTGGACATCGCACTTCACCAAGACAAAGACAACGCGCACTCACAGCGATCTCAATCGTTGCGACATTATACGCACCGTGCCCGGCACAGGACTGATTATGGACAGCGAAAAGGTGACCAAACCGGCAATGGAACCACCACCGTCGCAGTCCCAGGCTCCGCCCAATGCCAGCCCAAATCCGCCGCAGCGATCGCAGGCTCCGCCAGAGATAAAACCCAGGAGTGGGAAGATTGGAAGTCCAGTAAAATCACCGCCACTGCCGCCGATTCCAGCGGCCAAGCCAAAGAATGTGAGTCCGGTGAAGTTTAATCCGGAGCGGCTACGTCAGTCGCCCACAAAGACGGCAAACGATTCACCACCACCGCCGCCAGCCAAATCCGCGGCCGTTACAGCGGCTATGCAACGATCCCTGATGCAGGAGCAGCAGGAGCAGTTGTTGCGAAATGCCAATGATCAGGGTGTGGCGCCCATACCGCCGGAGAAGCCACGCAAAAAGTCCGTAGATCTCATCGAAGACACTCAGCCATTGGCTAACAATTGTTCTACACCGCCCTCGTCCTGCGCCTCTCCCACCAGCTCGTACATTGTGCAGCCGGCCAAGAGGGGATCTATGGATGGTGGACAATCTTCGTATCCCGGTAATGGACTTAGTGGTAGCACCAACTCGGCTGCCTCGGGTTCGCCTGTGGCCAGTGCCTCATCGGGTCCTTCGTCGCCGGTTCACACCGAGGATGAGAAGCAGGAGAACGAGTCCACGGAGAAGTCGGAGATGGAGCATTATCACAGTGGCAGCTACAACAGTGTTCCCAGGCGGCGACGCAGCGAAAATGAAGGTGAGTCTTTTGGAATTTTTGTCTTAAATAAGGGATTATTTTGTATAAAAGGTTAATATTATGGAAATACCTTTAAAGATAGTGTACAGAGATAGTGTAGCTTCCAGGGCTCTAAAAGATATATTTGATTATTTCGTAAAAAAAAAAAAATAAAATCAAAATCAAATTGGCGCCCAACCAAGGCTCAAATAAATTTGGACATGGCAAGACATGATGTCATTTTGCTTTCTAGATTGACAAAAAACTGAACCTTAACTGTCAACTAAATACTTTCTCATGAGAAGCACCTGCAAAAATAAAATTAAAAAGCTGATAACGATTGCCAAACTTTTTAATGAATCATTATTTAAGTTTGTTATAGAGTGCTCAAATGCCTGGAATAAATGTTTACCTATTATCGTCATAACAACTTTGTTGTTTGCTAGTTAAAGAAAATAAATTAAAGGCAAACCTAATTTCCAACTTGCTCCATTTGTGGGCTTTCTTTTTCTTCCGCTCGAGACATACCATAATTGATGTGCCTTTTGACTAAGGAAGGGCCTAAAGGAGGCGGAAAGGCCTGAAGGAGGAGGAGCCGCCAGTCGTCGTCGTCTCAGGTCATTCTCGAACTTCCTACATTTGAAAGTTTTGAACTTTTGTAGCAACGAGTTCAAACACCTTCCAGACATGCGCTTCCAGGTCGACTTCATTGTGTGCTGTTCAGGGGGGCCTCCTGTGTTGTCCTCCACTGGCTACCTCCCTGCCCTCTCCGGCTTATCCCGAGTCGAGCTAAGGCAGGCCAAGCCAGAGCCAAAGCCAAAGCCATTCCATTTCATCGCATCCCACATTCATTACAAGTTTTTCTAAGCGGCGTACAAATCGTGACTTGTGCGCCGCCCCAACTCCGCCTCTTCCAACTGCATACCCTTCCTGGCATTCTCTTCAAAATCCACTCTGTTGCTGTTTATACACAGAGAGAAAATGTTGCTTAATTTTGGAATTTGTTATACCTTCAATTTTGAGTTTGTTTTGATTGCAAGAAGGTTTAAAAAAAAAGCCTGGATTTATATGGTAATTTTTAAGGCAAGTCTTAAACTAAAACCTTGTACATTGATTTATATAATTATTTCCTTATATACTAGGTTTTTTCTTACTCTGTATGCTCTGAAGGCAAATTCCAATATGGGTCAAACACAGCAGGCATATCAAATGCAGCCCCCAACGAGCTACAAAGCTAAGAGAGGGCCCCAGCGACAACAACGGCTCGACAACATTCCAAGCTCCTGCCCTCCACTTCATCCTTCTTCTCCTACTCCTCCTCCTCACCCTCCTTGCGTCTCTCGAGTGCAATGCTCACAATCTGTCGTCGCCCATCTTCATGGTCCGAGGCATCGTTGTCGTCGTCGTCGTCGGCGGCTAGCGTTTTTGCGGATTTTGTTGGGATTCCCACCCTCGACACGCCGGCCGCTTGTCTCTTCCCTGCTCAATGGAGTCCAACATAGGCCTCTTCTAGCAAACGACTCTATGCCATACATAAAATTGTATTAATGCCAGATTAAGAATTCAATGATGCGTTGCACTCGCTTGAGCGCTGAGCGGAGCGCTCCTCCAGTCTTCTGGCTGCCTGCTTTCTTCTTTGCCCATCCTCCTCCAAGCTGCTGATTACAAAATTGGAATTTGCACGCCGCACTTCCGCCAGAGCAGCCTCCAGTTTCTCAGTTCTCAATCTCGGTTTTCCAGTAGAGTCTTCAGGCATGCCAGAGATATTTCTATACTCTATAGCAGGGAGATGTTGTGAGGGTTAGAAGGAAGCTTGGATAAATATAATAAATTAAGTAGCTTAACTTATTATTATCTTAAAATGTCTAAGAAGTATTGTCATCAGTTATTATCCCCTAACTTAACCATCTATCTAAGCCTAGAATCCCTATTTAATATCTAAATAATTAGCTGAATTTATGGCAACTAGAAGTGTCTGGGTTTTCACATTAACATATAGGAAGCACTTTTTGCCGTTTGCCAAAATAAAAATAAATATATTTCAGCTTTTGCAAATACTGGCAGAGTGCCCATTGGGTAATTCTGTTTTGCAAATATTAATTTTTTCACAGATGATAAAGATAATTACCTGAATACTTATACAATACACTTGAAAAGAAAGAGAGTGTTCCCAGATTCGTTCTCCAAGACCCTCATTCCTTGCGTGTTGTCTTAGCTGTCGGAGGGAATAAGTACTCCTCGAGTGCAGCTTCTGCTGCTGCTGCTGATGATTGCTTATCTGCAGATGCGAACTGAGGGAACTCTGGAGTTGAGCTCTTTTTAATTCATAAATGGCAGTGTTGTGTCCATGAAGGGGGGCGTGGCCCACCTTGATTTATTGATTCCATTGCTCTTGATGGACGCCAGAGGAGGAGAAGGCGATGGTGAAGTGCAGGCCATCGCATCGCAATGGAATAAAGTGGATTGGATTATGTGTTCATGTTTGGGGTAGGTTGTGTCTGCTAAAGCTATGCTTTTTTTCCCCTCTGTTTTTTCCATTTATTTGTCTATTTCTGGGGCTCTTTTTTGTGTAGCTCCAACCTAGCACCATTTTTTACGGCATTTTCTTGTCGAATCGCTGACACACAGCACCCGACATATGCTTAGCGCCATCCACATGCAAATTGATGCATTGCACACACAGTCATAAGGCTTTTTGCGTCTTATAAACATTATAAGGCAAGTACAGTAGAGATACGAGAAGAGTAACCTAAAAAAAGGAAATCTTTAAGTAATATTGTCTTAAGAAAATTGACGATATATTTTCTGTACAATTTTCTTTTTGAAAAATTCTTGACAAAGGTTGGTTTGGTTATGTTAATTTTCACTGTACCTGTATATGTAGCTATACCCTTAAAGTCATGTCAGAGTCGACACATGACGAGAACATACGACTGAGTATGAATGAGGCATATAGCCTCATTGGGGGTAAAAAATACAAGAAATAAAGAGGGGCGACGAGCTATAGGAATAGAAACATCGAGTCAAAAACGAAGGCCTAGGCTTCGGTGTGCTTGGCATGGCACATTTTGAATGGCTTGTGCCTCTGCCTGTCACATCCGCGAGTTTATAAATAACAAGAAAAATACTACTCAAGCACTACGACTACGACGCCATACCAGAGTGGGGGTTAATTTCAGGTGGGGGAGAAAAATAGGCACTATAAAAAATTTAATCTACAGAATAGATAAATAATAAATTAAACAAAAATGAATAATAATAAAGACTTTATTTAGACAGATTTTTATGTGAATAATAAAAACTCAGAGATTTTAAATCTCTCCCAATTGTGTCTAAAAGTATGCAATGTAATTTCTAAAAGATTTTTTTTGTATTAGAAAAGTCTGTAGGTATATTAAAAGTTAGTTGATTTTTCGAAACTAATACAAATATTTAAAACCCGTTTAAATATATTTTAAAACAGTTTTAAATTAAATATTTATATTTACAATATTTGTTTTGTACTACATTTTCTTAGACATTCAAATAGAAGTTTTCAAATCCCTTCATAAAAATATCTTGTCTCAGTAAACTGATTAAACAAATATAAATTAAAAAACCTTCTTTTCTCTTAGTGCACACATTATGTATTCCTGATTGTCTATAAATTATGCCTGCCAAAAAGTAGCTTTTGTGTGCTCCACTTTTTATCATCACAATGAAACATTGATGGGCACAAGAAACATATGTCGTCTTGGCATTTTAGGTTAATCCCAAACGGAAAGTATCATTTATCACAAATTAAAACCAATTCAAATATTGACAATTTGTTTGTGAAAAGAAAATTAAAGGGGAGGGTCTTTGTTGAAAATAGGGGGCTTTTCTTCTGGGTCCGCCTGACGCCGTCTACGCCTACGCAAAACAAAACACAAACAAAAAACACACACAAAAGTATACAGACAAAAAGCGCGGGATTTTGCATATGCCCTCGAGGGCTTCACGGCAGGCGAAGCAGACGGAGCCAACGAGACGGCCGACAAGCTGGCATGGGCCGTGGAAGGCGCTTGCAGGCAAAGCATGCTACTGAGAAGGCCGTTCAGAAAGCACCACTCCCCGGTGTTTTGGTGGAGCGAGGAGATCGCGGACCTGCGCCGTAAATGCCACCGCAGCAGAAGATTGATGCAGCGAGCTAGAGGCACCCCGCGCCTTCTTGCGTGCAGCGACCGCTACAAGGCAGCAAGAAAGGAGCTTAAGACTGCCATTAAGAACAGCAAACGAGAATGCTTCCTCAAGCTGTGCGACGCCGCCGAGGAGGATCCATGGGGAGGAGCCTACAGAACGGTAGTAAAGAGGCTTAATGCGGGTGGCTGTGCCCCAACCGACCCGGCGACGCTGGAGAGGATAGTTGGCTCCCTGTTCCCGAGCGGTCGGCAGGTCTTGATCTGCCCCAGCACCGAGTTGGGCGACATCCGTTGGGTCACGGAAGCTGAGGTTCTCCTTGCCGGTAGAAGCCTGAAGCCCAAGAAGGCTCCGGGGCCAGACGCGATTCCGAGTAGAGCAACCAAGTTGACTCTATCGCTGCTGACGTCCGAAGTTGCCGGCCTGTTCAACAAGTGCCTTCTGGAGGGGACGTTCCCCGACAGATGGAAAAGGCAACGTCTGCTTCTGCTGCCCAAGCCAGGCAAGCCACCAGGAGAAGCATCGTCCTACAGACCGATCTGCCTGCTGGACTCGATCGGCAAGGTGTTCGAAAGGGTGATCTCAACCCGGCTGAGCCAAGCTATCGAAGCCGCTGGTGGACTCTCCCCGGAGCAATATGGCTTCACGAAGGGGAAGTCTACGCTGGACGCCATTGCAAAGGTAGTCAAATTGGCGCAGGATGCCATTGCCGGAACCAGGTGGAAAGGAGGAAGCAAGTCCTACTGCCTGGTGGTCACCCTGGACATCAGGAATGCCTTTAACTCGGCAGACTGGAGCCGTACGCTAGAGTCCCTGAGGAACTTTAACGTCCCTGGGTACTTGCTGAACGTAGCTCACAGCTA